GGGGCCCAGAGGGGCCACTGGGCCAGAGGCTGTGGGGGCCACGTTTGGTGCAGCATCGGCACCAAGACTCGTTGTGCCCACTGTTGATGGTGGTGGGACGTGGAGCTGCGGTGCCATGAGCGTGACCAGTGCCAAGAGCGGGATCTGGAGCCCCTTGACAACCAGGTTCACTCTGCCTCTGAGTTGGTCGAGTATTCAGAAACCGACCAGGGTGGGGCTATTGTGGGTTCTGACGAAATTGCTGGTGCCAGGGCATGTCTGGCAATCGATTTAGGTTTGCCACGGTGCTGGGAAGGAGGTGATGGCATGGCCAGGCTCGGGGCCTGTGCAGAGGTAGGTGCCATTGAGCTGGGTGCAGTGGATGGTGCTGCACAGTGGTACTGTGCCGGTGCCGGGCCCGGTGCCATATCTTGTGTGGCATCCGGGGCCGGGATGGCTCTGAAGGTGGTGCTGCAGTTGGTACTGAGAGCGGTGCCGAGGGTGCGGGCTGTGCCGGATGGTGTTTCCTGGCATCTGGCACCGCTTCCTCGCACGTCCTTGATGATGGAGGCCGGTGCTGGCTGTTCCCATGGTCTCTGGTAGGGGTCGGTGTTCAAGGGGGCCAGGGGGCTGACTCAATCAGGACCCTGGTTGCCTCGAAGGCCTCCAGAGTTGAGGGTTCTGGAAAGTCCTCAGGAGGGCTGGATTCCCTATGTGGGGATAAACGTCCACCCGACCGAGATGGCCTGGGTTCAGCTCTTGATGGTGCCATGTGCCCCACTGAAGGGTGCACGGAGGGCACGTGCGTCGGAGGGGATCTACCTGTTGGGCCTCCTCTTCTTCTGCGGCACCAGGGACTGTGACCAGTGCTGAGGCCTGTGAGGCACCAGTGAGGTGCGGGGTGCGTTGAAGCGACCTGCACCAATGCCGGTGCGCTCTGGGAGACCAGTGACGGGTCCGACGCTGGTGCCGGTCTTCTGGCTGCCTCGATAAGGATAATCTTGAGGTGTGATTCTCTCGCACGCTTCGTGCAGGGCTTAAAAGCTTTGCAAATTTTGCAGGTCTCTGAAAGGTGGGCCTCTCCCAGGTACTTTAGGCAGGACGAATGCAGATCACTGCAGGGCATAGGCCGGTGACACTTTTTGTAGGGCTTGAAACCCTTGCAGTCCGGGCATGCCCCGCCACGGGCACACAGCATGCCGCAGCAGCAAATGAACAACAGAAGCAACAGTCTCTAACTCAATTTACAACTACTTAACGGTGATTAACTGATAACAGGCAACAAAGAACTACTTAAGCAATGATTGCTTTAGCAGGAGCTGAGGGTTGTTCCAAAGACCATCACAGCGGTAAGAAGGAACTGAGTGGGTGGATGGCCAGCCACTCCAGGGGGCTTCCTGCTGGCCGGATGGGAGGTACTGCTGAGGGAAAAAAAATCTCCAATGACGCGTGCATACTGCATGCACACACCCTGATTGGAGTGCACATGAGCAATCCCTCGAAAAAGAACCGAAGTTAGGGATTCTGTGGTGCATGCCTTGTTCTGTGGGATGAAGAGACCGTGGCATAATTTAGGCAGCCCTGGGTGGAGGGAAAGGCTGTCTAAGGCTTGTCTATATGCAAAACCTACACCAGCACATCTATATAGGTTGGGGGTGTGAAAAAAACATGCTCCCTAGACGCACAGTTAAGCTGATAAAACCCTCAAACATAGATGCAATTATGCGGACAGAACAATGGACATGCTGCATCTACATATAGGGCGGGGGTTTCCTTTATGCCTATGCCTAAGTTACAGCAGCCTTCCTTAAAGGCCACAGCATTGCCTGGAATCTCTTGCCAGGAGCCACTACTGGGATACGTAATGGCTCTCCTGGGCGGCAGCATGACCATTATGTTCTACAGTGCCTATGCTTGGAGAATCCTGTCAGAGCCGGGTAGGGAGCATTTAATAGTCCTTGCCCTGCACTGTCTCTTTTACGTAGTATAAAGGGGGCAGAGTAGGGTGAAGTTCTCAGCCCGGCTTTTCAGAGGGCTTGAGCATCCAAAGCTTCAACTGCTCTAAACAGGGGGGATATGGATCCTCATCACTTTTTAAATCCCGCTCTCCAATTTAGGTGCCTAAATGTGAATTGGAATTTTTTGGCTGAAATAGTGGTCAGTGGGATACATGAACCCAGCTATAACATTCCTGTGATTGAGTTCAATGTTTAGCAGGGACTGTGGGTATCACAGGCAGGGGATGGTATTGCTTTCCCAAACTGCCAGCCTGGCCCCACCCAGACTCTGCCCCCAGAACACATGCTGTAGACATACTGGGGACAGAGCCTTGCTGCCCCAAGAGTTTGCCCTTCCTGTGTTCTGGAGCCGAGGAGGCTGGGACCGTGCATCACCTGCCTTCCACATGCTCTGGGGCCAGGGAGACTGGGGTTGCATGCTCTCCTCTCTCCCCTTGGTGCTAGGGGGAAGGGGTGTCCTGGGTAAAAGGGGCGGGGTTGCCTCCCCCAACCCTACCTTCATCCACCACCCATGATCTTTAGGCATTCTGGGATACTCTGCTACTAGGGGTGATCTACTTTGTCGCTTCAGGCATCTGACAAAGGAAGCTGCAACTCACAAAAGCTTATACCCTAATAAATTTGTTAGTCTTTAAGGTGCCACCAACCTTCTTGTTTTTGCTGAAACAGACTAACATGGGTACCTCTGAAATGAGTGGCATATGAAGACTGGGCATACTACATACCTCAGGGTCTTCTCAAATCCCTCCAAACTCCCTCAGAAGCTTCCTGTGTGTCACGCTCTCAGCCCCCTCTATTTCAGGGACTCTTTGCAATCTTCTCTTCTGCTATGTGTATCTCTTCTTCCCTCCTTACCATAGCCCTCCCCCATTCTCTTCCTGCATGGCAGGGGCTCTTTTGGCCCTCCCTGCAACTGCATATCAGGGGTTGTGTGTGGTACCCTTTCCCCCATGCCCAACTTCCCTCTGCAAGCCAGGGTCTCTGTATGCCTTCCATAACTCCCTTTGAATGTCCCATATCTCCCCTGCCAGGGTTCTGTGTACCTCCCCATTCTCTCCCACCAGTCCTATTCTCCTTTCTTTTTCAGGCCAGGTCTACACTACAAGTTTTGCTGACAAAGCTATGACAGAATTCCCCCCTGCAGATACAGTTTATACTGTCAAAAGAGTTCTTTTTCCTGTGTAGCTTATGTCATTTGGGAAAGTGGCAAAATGATAGCACAAAAGTTCTTCTTTTGTCTGTAGGTGCTATGCCTCCATCATGAGGGCCTTTCCCCATGCAGCCATGCCATCAAAGCATTTGCAACACAGATTAACTTGCACAGTGTTAACTGTTTAAAACTGTATTGGGAAGGTGAATAGAGGAAAAATGAAGGTTAAAGTTAGGCTGGAATGTGCTCATGGCTAACTGATCTTGGATGAAAAGACAATTACAGAGACAGTGGAAGCTGCTAGCTCTCCTGTTGCAAAAAGCTTATTAAAAAGGAATACTATAGACACTTACATTTATTTATTCATTCATTGGGTAGTACTATTTTATTTTTAAAATTCTTTTACTAACCTTAGGTGGTTTAAAAGGATAGTCTGGTGAAAAGGTAATGTCAAGGAAGAAAACTCCCCCTTCATACACAGAACCTGGAGGCCCAAGTATAGTTGACCTCCATTCATAAATGTTGTCGCCTTTGGGTCCGGCACTAAAACAAAAGCAAAAATATGGCATAATGAGTAACCACATAAAATTGTGAATATAGTACATCAGTTAAATTTATTATAATATTTTTGGCAATCACACCAGAAACAAAAACGATATACTGCATTCATGTATCTCTTCCCCAGTAATGCAAGTCACAGTCTTCTTCACGCAAAGTGATAATCAGACACATAAAAGTAGTATAATCACTGTATTAATAAATTATTCAAATAATTATAGGAAGATTAGCTTCCAGACTGCATCTAAACTATTCTTAGGTGAGGCAGCATTTACAATGCAAGGAGCCAGGGACTACTTGTCTATCAGTCATTTAATATTCAACTACTTCCTTATCTGCCTCATCAGTCGGTGGCATTACAGTAACACACATGATTTTGTAGGACAGAGTGTATTAAAATCTTGGCACCACACAAATGACCTTGTAGTCATTATTAATAAATCATTATTTGAAATCACTCCAGTGACTAATACAGAAAGGCTGTTATACTCTACAATTATTACAATGTATTGAAAAGATTATAAAAAAAGAATTACTAGCAGGTTAAATAGTAGCAATATGTTCATATAAACTGCATTGAAACTGCAAAAGTACTAACATATAGATGGAAATGGAAAAAACACATCCTGTGTTCAATCACCATCTAGGAAGGCACAATTTTGGGAAACAACTTCCATATAAATCAAAGTTAGCCTCTCTGCAAACAACAAAAGCTCAGCCTTAGAACCATGCATTTTGTTCAGCATGGACTTACACGTGCAGGATTTTAGCTGGAGTGAGCACAATCCTAACTTTTATTTTCCCTGTGGATATGTTAATTACTTTATTTCTTTAATCGTTATTTCAGTAAATATTGATACTGTCAGATCTAATTCATTGCCAAGCTAGGTTCTACTTACAAGAAATGTTTTGTATTTGAAGAACCTAAAGAATACACATAGGTTTGTGGCCCATCTATAAACAACAACAAATATCACTTCTAATTAGGATCAATGCGAGCACCTACCATTTGTTTACAGGAAAGGAGGGTTAGTGGATTTTTCAAAATAAGTGTGTGTGTCAGTATTTTTTAAGTTATTTCTTATGAAACAATTTTTGTTATGACTGCAATGAAGAATTCCAGAGCATTCAGGGTTTATGAAATAGCTGTATGTCTAGAACAGATGAAAGCTCCTGGCTATGCTCCATGCCTCACAATGCACCGAAGGCGTACAGTTATTACTCAACATCATGTCATGTTCGCTGCCCAACTATTCATTTTGTTCACTGAAAGTTAATAAAACCTCTTCCATCTGAAATTCTTTTGGCTCCTTTCATTAAAACTGAATGTGTGATTCCCTACATACAACTGGGTGACTTACTACTGTGCAATATACCAGTTCATTAGTCATGATACCTACATCAATTTTCTACGATAGTCACTAATATGTCTTGTATTTCTAAATGACACTTTCTTAACAAAACTATGCTGCAGAGTCTATAATATTATGGAGCCATCATTTTATAATACCAACCATACTACCAAAACTAGCAATTGCCTAAAAGATAAAATCATCTTTTTAAGCATCGCAAAAGCAAGAATTACTACCCATATGTATCTCACAATGTCTGCAATACATCAGGTTGCTCACTGCCAAACAAATTTAATTTACCCGGTTCTCAGTTTGCATTAACCTTTGAATAATAAAGCACAGCTGAGACTGCTGTAAGAAACGAACCAGAGAATTAATAATTAAAAACATCTCCATAGCTTTCGGATAGACCAATCATAAGCCATCAGGGGAGGTTTAATTGTGACTGAACTAGGCATTAAAAGGGCTAATTGTACTCTTTATAAATCTAAACAAATGGTGGGGCCATAGCACTGCTACAGTATTTGAGGAGCACAGAAAACAAAGTCCTGAAAGCATGAGGCCATTACTTCAAATGAAAAAGGCAAGAAGTAAAGAGAGTTTAAACTTTACATTAAAAACACCCATAATCTGCAAAGGAAATCCCTTGCCATTTTCTACAGAGACAAATTTTCTAATATTGGTAAAAGCAACTACTCATTTTGTGCTGGCACGCTAAAATGCAACTGATATAAATGTTGAACCTAGATAAAAGGATAAATATAATAAACTTCAAAAGGAAATTCTATTTTTACTAGACTCCAGTCCGCATGAGACAACTGGGCCCTCTTTGGTTTTGGGTACAATTCATGGGTTGTTTTTGGAGGACCAACACTTAAAAACTGACCACTGCAATTACATTTCCATAATTTAATTTGGTCATATTGCTTTGCCTAGTTGTTTAGAAGTGTTAGCATTTGAAGTCAACAACCTCTTAATTCAAATAGCTGAAATATGCCATACCAGTCAATTCAACCTGTTTTAGCACATCTAGCTGAATGCCCAGCCTGTCAGCACTGCAGTGTTGCTGATTTATATTAATTCAAATATGATCTTTGCAACCCAGAGGAGCAGAAACATTATAATTATTTGTTTTAAAGAATAGTTTAAATTATATCATGTGTTGCACAACTGTGTGTTAATGTTTGCAAATTGGGATGATCAGTGACAATAAGCTTGTTCAAGGGACATGAAATAGATGTTTATGTGCATGATGAAAGAGCAAATAGTAAGGGCACCTGCATAACCCTTCTTCTCTTGCACATTAGCAACACTGAAGTTCAATAGGTGTACTATATTTTCCCTTCTTTCCTAACTGTTAAAGCTTTTATCACAGTCACCAGTTATGATATTGGCAACAAGAATGACAACACATGCGATTTCTCCAGAGAAAATTCCCATATGTGCAAGCCCTCAGCTAGATCAGGGTTATAATGCGTGAGAATTTAATTGTCCCGCTCTCTATATGGACATCTGCCCAATAAAATGAAGCCCAAACATTTTACATTCAGTGTGATTTATATTCCTGCTCTATTTATGTTACTGGCAACCAAACCAAAGATCTTCGTGAAAGTAAAGTAAACATCTCAGTTCTTGAAACTGTTATCTTCGGAAGGATTGATACAGATAGACACTAATTTGGCAAAAGGCAGACTAAATCATCTCACGCTGAACTGACCCAGAGCCAGAGCATATTTATGCTGCTTCCCACTAAACTGATGTTAAACCAGTCAGTTTCAACAATGGAGATAATAATGGCTGTAGCATCTCCAGAAGGAATCAGCCGAGCCATAAAGAGATGGTAGTTGTGATAAGGACTGATGTGTCAGATATGCCAGGGATTGAGTCTCCAAATCTGAGAGACATATCTGTGTGCGATAAAAACGAAACAATGAACAAAATAAGAATTGAAGGCCATTCTAGAGCTAGCGATGTGCCCTCCTCCAAGATTTCTAACATATGTTTCAGGTGAAATTTGTAATATATGGCCAAGGAGGTACAGTGTGAACATATATCTTCATGGGATTTGGATTTAGCAATGACTTGTCAACTGATAGCTCTGTATTGTCATTATTCCCTTACAATGGATGATACCTTCCAGAGTGTACTCTCTTGTATCCACTGGAGACACTGTCCCATAGCTGAGTGGCAAACTTGGGGGTGGGATGGAAAAAAATCAGTTCTAGGCCACCTCCACGATGATGTCAATATATAAGCACTGAATTAGGGACAAAGAACTGGAAAAATTAATAATCACCTCCTCTATATTTCATCTTCCAGCATAACTCACCTGAAAGGGAATATATCTCCCTCTCTGCCATTGCCTTTAGCCCAGAGGTGGGCAATAATTTTTGCAGGAGGGCCACTTCGCGAATTTTACAAGTGATCACGGGCCACCCCCAAAGAGTGCTGCATGCCCCTGGTGGGGGAGGAGACTTCCTGGGAAGACTTGACTGGCTGGGGGCAAGGGAGTGGTAGGGTGGCCGCAGGCTGGATCACATGGCATGGTGGGCTGAATCTGGCCCATGGTCCCTATCTTGCCCACCCCTGCTTTAGCTTACGTGCAATCTATTTGCAGGTGAAATGTGTGCACACAAGTTAGTAGAGAAATATCAGATACTTCACAAATAACTGTAATTGAATCCACTGTATTTTAAAAGTGGCTAACGTGTTGAGTATTTTCAATTATCACAACATATTTTAGGCAGGCAGCTGCTTGAAAGAAGCTGTTCTAAAAGCTGCATGTCCAGTACAAAGCATGATGAACACTACATCTTAGTTTCATTTAAAGGGTGTGCTATAAAATTCAGCTGACATTGGTGCATCAATGAATTAACAGGAGAGTTCCATTACTGCACTGCTATCACGACAGATTGTCCTAGACATAATATTAAAGAGAATAATCTGGAGAACAGAACAAATGCATGGTTTTTTTTTAACAGAAACAGAACAAAAACATGGTTGGTTTTTATTTTAAGCAGAGCTTAATCTACTGACTTTACAGAGTGTCAATCAAAATCAGTGAAAATGCAAAAGCTTCAAGAAATAAAAGTATCTTATATTTAGGCTGAAGTAGACAAATGGAATCAATTAATCACAATAACGTTATTTTAAATTAGATTTCTAAATCAAACATATATTTAGTGTCAATGGACCAAACACTTCCTTCTAGTTCTGTGAAGGTAGGGAGCATAAATCTGCACAATGGGCAAGGGGAAGTTTGAGAAGATGCGAGGGCCAGTTCAAGGCTATGCTCCCTCTTCCCTGCCCTCTGGATCCCACTGGAAATATGAATGTTGGGATCTCACTTTACTGCTACACCTGCCAAGTGGGAAAAAAGGTCACCTATAATCCTTAATCAAAATTATTTGAGACATGTGGCTTTACTGGTATTCCACATAGCGTCCAAGTGTGGTCCATTCACCTGTGACCAGATTATTCTTACTGGTAGTGTCTGTGCACTCTCTCATCTCATGCTTCATACTGAAGAACTAAGGCTGGTGCGCACAGACTTCCTCTCCAGTTCCTTATCTACGGTGGATCAGAGTTATGATCCAAAGCAGAGGAGAAGAAGGGCAGTTAGTAGAATACAGA